TGTGCAACTCTGCCTCCTGAGTCTAGCCTCCCTAGGACCCCCAGGGTTCTTCTGCAGCCTAGCCCTGTGACACTGCCCCTGGCACTTGGTGTTCCTGTATTGGTGGAGCTGGTAAGAGCTGAGTGTCAGGGTACCTGAGTTACTCTCCTGGCTTCTTGGCACCTGTCACTTGCCTCCATCGCAGCTAGCCCATGTAGATCACTCGGAATGTGCCATGTCTGTGTTGAAACTGCAGAACCACCCCCAGATACTTGTGACAAGGCACATCAGTGAAGAGTTTGCCACAAGGAACATTTAATCACAACCCTGAATAGAGCAAGAACCCCTACCATGACATTTGCTTGGTAATAATGGTTGAATGTGTGAGCATCCCATCTCCCTGGAGGTGGTTCCAATTAGCTGTGTCCTTACTTCAATGAGCAGCCACTCTACTCCACCTAAGATTGCTCAAGGAGTGAGGAGACCTGCTGGTTGTAATTTCTTAGTGGCTGTCCCCAAGCCTTCTTCTATAAGAAGCAACATCCTGTTTCTGCAGATATGCCTTCCTTAACACAAAGATACCCACCCTCTGCCAGCAACATAGGCTAACGTGGGGTCTCTTCAAGATTCCACTTTTGACCCTAAGGTCTAGATGAGAGCATACTAACATTTATTCACAAGTTAACAGTTCAGAAACACATATATTTCACTCGGCCTCTCATACTTTCACTTGTGAACAACAACAAACAACAAAATCAAGATATTGTAGAAACAAAATAACGATAAGTATTATCCCTTAGTGCCTTCTGTATGCCATGCATTTGTCTGGCAGCAAACTGCCACTCTAGCTCTAAGTACCATGATTCCCATTTTGCAGATGCAGCAAAAGCCATTGAAACAGGACCATGGGCCAAGAAACTAGAAAGAGACAGCAAATAGATTTGCATCTCAGTCTGCCTGACCCTGAAGCCTTCAAATGTAGAGATTCAGAAAGACTAATGAAATCCAGGCGAATTTTATATACAAACTCATGACTCAATCAATAGGATTGAAAGAGTTTACTGTTGTAACCATTTGGGGGTCACGAAAAGAAATTCAGCATGATTAAGTTATAGAATTACAAGGATAGCTTTCTCTCCCCCACACTCTTGGGCATGAGGAGGCTAAAGAATAACAATAGGGAAATAGCCACTGTCCATAATTTTTAATGTGTCTAACTTCGAAGACTCGTTAAAATGACCATTCACCACCTGAGCAAAAAAAAAAAATAGCTTTTAAAAAAATGACAATAAGAAAAAGGCAATGTGCCCAAGAAAATAAATATAAACCACCCCCAGGGAATGCTTAACTGATTTTTCCTTTCTGGTTCATTCAATTAAGTGAAGAGTGAGAAGCAAAAAACATTCACTACCCACAACCTAATAACCTGTGCCAAAAATTCTATCAGCTTCCCAGTTCTCTATGTGTAGCATCACATCGTCTATGTGGATAAACAGACTAGAAGCAATTAACTCCAGCTGCCACCCCACAAACAAGAAGCAAACTTCAATAATATTTGGAATGAATGGCATGATTTAATTCATGTCTAAATCCCACTTCCATTTGTTAGGTCTCATTTTTCCCTTTAGCATACTTTAAAAGCAGCATTTTGTAGAGTACTGAAAAACTTAGGCTCCCCCAAATCTAGAAGACTATATTCTAAATTCACTGCAAAGTAGCCAAGACCAGTCCATGCTAATTAGTCCACTTAATGTGAGTCTTAATAAAATGTAAAACTGTTTGACCAATTGCCATCAAAATAAAGTTATGTATAGCCTCCAACATTTTTACCACACAAAATCCCTCCGATTGAAAATATTTATTTCTAACCTGTCTCAGAGTCCCAGGGGAGCCTGGAGAAGTTTTGAACAAGTAACTTTTTTTTTTTTCCCTCGGGATTGACAAACAGTCACAAGTTGGCAAACATAGTGTTTTCTAGCCAGTGAGCCACAAACACCCACATAAAAGGTTTGAAGGAGAAGCCAGCTAGATCCTCAAACTACTCCCCACACTGCATTCCAGGCCTTTAAAAACCAGGGTTTTTTGAACAAGTTTACAGTTATTATTCACAAGACGATTTGAATGTAACTTTAGCATAGACAATTACAGCAATCTAGGTCTCTCTTACAGCACATCTGTCTAGGGTCCATGAGTAAGGAAAGGGGGCGACTGTGGGTTACCGGCCTGCACTCCTACTGACCTCAGAAGGCCAAAGACTTCTGTTTGGAGAGAGATCTTTCACTCTTCATTTCACACCTTTCTTACTGTGCGAGTGTTTTCCGGTTTTTCTTTCTTTGTTTTCAAGTGCATGCACTATTTTTACCACTTTAAATGTACCTATACTCGGAGAAAAGGAACAAAACAGGTCTATTTTCTAACATTTCACTTCTCATTCTAGAAAAGGTGAAATATAAAGCACTTCAGGGTTTTTGCTGTCTGCTGAAGATGTGAGAAGCAAGTGTGGGTGTCCTTAGGGCTCTGTCCACAAAGCTTTACCCGGGAGCGCCTCCACACTAGGCTTTTACTGTGCAAAGCCTCTCCTGCTCGCACAGCCTTCCGTTAAGGAAACCACAGAGTAACTTGGAAGCCTGCTGAGCTGGTATCCCT